AATGTGGACCATGCTTAACGGTCAGAGGACGGGATCTTGGTCTCACGCTGTCAACAGAGGGTAAGGTTGTACTTTCACAGAGATGAATGATCAAGTGAACAACTCATTAAATTAGAAGCCGCAAATGTTACTGAAACTGAGGCTTCGGAACCAGAAGAGGAACCGAAGCGTTCCGTGATGAAACAGATGACAATCACATTCTGGGAAATTTGTTCAGGGACAGTACGGTTAGAGAAAATAAAATCCTAATGCTTCGTGGTTCAACGAGAAATAAATTACGGTGTAGTGTGTTATCGAATGATTTATGAAGAGAAGATCGAAGCCACTGTCCCATCATCACCTGATAATTGAATAACTAATGTCGAACTGCCAAATGAAATTTATTATTGTCATTTTTCTGTTTTTATGCTATTTATGCTGTATTTTATTACTTTGCATTAATGTTTACATGTTGAAATCTGATTATTGTGTGCATCCTGTAAATGGAGCTAACCGAAATATCTTTTAAAACATTAATACACTCTTATTTACACATATTGTAAATATATAATCTACAGGGTATGATTAACGGACATGGGTGGGTTAAATCTGACTTGGAGAAGCGTAAAGTGTAAAAGCATTAAAGGTTGCAGAACTTAATACTTACGTAAGTTTGGGTCTGTTTGTAGTAACTTGTTTGACTTCATTCGTACATATTGTTTTTACACTGTCGTTTAGGGAACTCGATCCGTACAAAATGCTGGAGCACATTTGTTCAAAGAATTTGTTTCAGTCCTGCCCCGAAAATATCGCCGCAAGACTGGCCGCAAAAGAAGAGTGACGCGACGCTTGGTTGATCGCTATTTAATGTCGTTTTGCTTTGGTGCTTTTGTCAGTTGGTGTAAAATTCTTTTTGACCCAAAGCCTAATGTTTTAATGTAATTTTGCGCATAGTTATATAATACAGTATTAGTAAAATTAATCGCCAGCGTCTTGCAAATATACAACGTACGACAGCTCCTTGGCTGAAAACCAGCTGTATCTGTTGTCGAATTCGAGTATGTCTAGAAAGTGAGTCAAATTGATGGTACGTCTCGTTTCTGGTTAATCATCAGTTGTCATACACTTTCCTTTGCGATCGCAGCTCATCTCGTTTTCCACCGGTATTAGCGAACATTCCAGTCGTATGTATGGATATACGATATCGTAGGGGTCGGTTTTCGAATCTTCTATGTATATCGAAAACCCAATGTCCTCCATCACTGTTTTGTACTTCCACCTAATAACAGATACATTGATTTCAGTAGACCTTTTCCAGCCATAGAGAAAGATTGTTTTACCTTAAAACTGTACCTTCATTTTTGATGTCTACCTCAACCGTGTGAACGTTGCCTGCATAGACTGTAACTTCCGTGTACTCATCCTTGTCTTTGCTCGGATCATAGTAATCTTCTTTGGACACTACATCGATACCAAAGTTGACCTGCAACGGCATTGATATCCGTATGCAGAGCATCAGTGATGATTCAGTTTCCTACTTTCGACGGACATTTCTCATCCCCATCTTCGATGAGCGATCCACCCCAGTAAGCAGGCCACTTCTCCGGATCTACGTATCGGAACAGCACGTCTTTCCATTCGTCTGTAAAAATGAACGTTTGAGACAATGTAGTGTTTCATTAAAGGTTTATCACTAACCTCCAGGCATTTCAACAACAGCTGTAGTTTTCTCTGAAAGAAATGGTCTGAGCAAGTTGAACGCGATTTTTGCTACCGCTGGTGCTGAAAAGAATAACTTAATAACAAGTTACTGAATTTATGTATGTACTGATTTGTATAATCGATTATGCATTTGCCAAATAGCGCAGACTTGCTGGCTAAGAGAAATATAACCTTTGCGACGACAGCGAACGACTTAGTGTGCATCTGACTACATTTTTAATTGGTCTGATGTCATTAACCTGGATGGCCCTGATATTAAGGGGTTGTTATATTAGAATTGTTTTAATCAAGCTATTAATTATAATGATCATGAAACATCGACCACATTGCCCTGAAGGAGGTAAAGTTTGTGCTTTTAAAATGTCAGTCATATACTTTCATGATGGGACCATTTACGGCGCTTTTTTTATTATGAAGTTATTGGTATGGTGCTGATCTGTGTTTCCGTGCTATCCACTAGAAGTGCCTTATTTCCAAGGCAGTGTCGATCGACGCCATGTGGCAAGCATAGTGTATGGTACTGGTTTTTCAACTTTAGAAAGAAGAAAGGAGTGACCATGACTGGAGCTTGATCCGGGGATCTGTCGGTTCTGAGTCCGGCGCTGCTCTTCTGACTGAAAAAACTTCGGGATGAGGCAAGGTGTGGTAAGTACCTTGCTAGGTAACTCGTGGTCAATACAAAGGTCCTGATAAAGCGACCTTTCATGGAAAAATTTTCAAGGTTAAACATCTTTGGTTAACCTTTGGTAGTTTAGGTAAGTTTGATAGACAATTCTTTATAGGATTGCAGCTACCATGCAAGCGCACTCTCCACTATAGATGTGATGCGCACGGCGCACTAACAGATATGCCACTAGGAAGTGACTTAATAAGTAACTGTGCAAACGATCAGCTATGTGGCTTTAAACCGTCAGATCTGAAAGTCATTTTAGCATGATGCCTAACAGTTTATCGAAATTGCAGTCTTTCTCATACGGGTTTTGCTGTGGAAATCCCGGTCCAAAGTATAACTACATTGTTTAGTTGTAGTCCTGGACATAATGCATAAGTGTTTGAGCTATCAGCCTGATTCAGGAAGAATAATTGATTTTCGATTTCTGTGAAACAACGTGAATTGGATGAGCCTCGTCACGCCTGAAGCCAAAGAAATATTGAAATAGCAGTGTCTGCGAGCGGTTGGGCTGCGGTTCGTAACCTCTTAGAGGACAAGATAAATATTTTAAAAAAATCAATTATCTTACCCTAAAGTAGGTCGGTGAGAAATCATCGTAGCATGAAATCAAATTTTTTTCTGTCTTTTGCATTAGCGAAAAGCAGCTTACCTCTGATGAGGACAATCTTTTTAAAAATATCCGGATAATTTTCTTGAAATAAGGCCACAAGCTAAAGTTTTGACATTCAGTCTGTTTCAGGAACATTCAGAATCGTGCTCTACCGTCAGAAACGTGTTCGTGAACGGCTTGTACGAATAATGCGAAGTCGTCAGGTTGAAAAGGTCCATGACTAGGAGTATCTTTTCTTCCGTCTTTTGATCCTGAAAACAAAATTTTGATGCATACAGTAGACGGCGAGTCGAGAGCCCTACCGACGTTCTAGCGGCCAATCGCAGTCCCATTTCGACGTTAAAGAGGTGCATTTTGATGTAGTCTTTTGATTGACACGACTGGAATAAGCCTGTAAAATCATTTTGCTCAATTACTGTGCCATCAGTAACTAAGTTACCTTCAACGTCCAGTTTTCCCAGAAGGTTAAGCAGTATTGGATTGCCCTCGCGGTCTCTGCCCGGTAGTCCATGGCCAAAGTATTTAAGAAGCCCCTGCAGCGATTTGTAGAATATAGTTTATCCATAAATAATGAGGTTGTATTGTGCCACCGCTCATTTCGATGCAAAGTCATTATTTGTGAATTTGAGGAATATTTTAAGCTAAATCTTTTGGCAATTGTCCTTACTCATGCTCCGCGTTCAACTTTCCACTTCGAGGTTGTTTTTCGCAACAAATTCTAGATGTTATAATCTGATAAAATGAGTTCAGCATTTTTTATTGACAGTGAAACAGGTACTAGTCCTTTTAGAAAAATCACCGGATTCCACTTGGCATGCTCTGAAGAGTAAGTACAGTATTTGAAATACGTACAATGTCCAGTGAGCAGCAATCAGCTTTCGCATCATAGTTTGAAGATAATTGCGAATGACTGCTCGACACCTTCATCAGCACATACTGGCTTAGCTTGGCCTTTTAATGACTATGTTTGCGTCTTAACTTCAGTGGCATTCTGAGCTCTCTACCTGCTTCAGATGCATTCCACTGATCCGCAGGACCAATTGATTACTATTATATACTTCACTGTAGCAGAACTATTTTCATTCTTTTTCATAACGGGTTATCTTCAACAAGGATACGTTGTTCGACGCACATGCCTGCACGGTTTCAGTCGTTGGTCAAATCTTCGGTCACTGCTCGTAGTTTTACATCGTTGTTTATGACATCGCGCCATCCTTTCTTTGGACTTCCTCATTTCTTCTCTTGCAGTATCAGTTCCATTCCAGTTTCATTATCAGTTCTTCATCACATTTCCAGCGTCCTCGTTGGATCTTCTTTCCGCGAGGCCGAACCAATAGACCATGCTTTCAATTAGCCCTTTTGAAATTTGTGCTAGAGTTAAAATGTCTCTTATTAAGGTATTCCGGATGTTGTCCTTATCGCTGACAATATGCATCTATCTGAGCATTCACATTTCTGCGGAGTTCAGCTCTTGCTCACGTCTCTTCAGGATGGACAAACATTCCCCGAGTTACTGAAGTATAAGTCTTACTGTCGTTCTGTAAACCTTTCTTTTTAGTTTAATTGGTACATTCTTATTGCACAGTACTCCTCTTCTTCCCTTCGTTTAAACCATGCTCTTTGTTTGAATGATTTTTTATTCACTATCGGTTTTTTCCCATTGTCTTGAAATATACAACCAAGATAATTGAATTCTTGACTTGAGGGAGCATACTGTCCGCTATTTTCATTGATTATTTGTCCTTCTTGCTGTTAATCTGCGATGAAATAGCCAAACTGTAGTCTGACATGCCGTTGTTAATCCGAAGCCCATTTTCTCCACGGTTCTTCTCCATGACTCACTTTTGCTTCTACTGCTTCTTTGATTTCACTGGTTAGGTTTCGTCATCTGCACAAAACATATAGTATGGGAGCTTCTTGCTGATACTTAGCAGTGTATTTGAATTAATTAATTAAATCGATGAAAATTGGACAGTCAAAACTTATTGTTCCTTATATATCGAAATCGGGTTTAATTGTTTGCTCAAGGAAATTTAAAGGTTAAGACAAAGGTTGTTCTTTTGATCCGATTCGAACTTGACTTCGGACTTCGAAACCGACCTTGTAGGCATTCTGACGACGATCAGTGTACTATGATATTTTCGGGGGAACGGAGCGAGAACGAACGAGAAACGGTCCCTTGCGGCAGAGCGAATAAGTGTCAAAGCATCTTTCACAGCAGGTGTTCCAAAAATCGTTAATAAGTGAGTGTTGACAGAAATATAGGTTTTACGATGGATAGCATCGAAGTAATGGCGCTCATTTATTAAAAAATATTCCTTCCTATCATGGTTTTAGTTTTAGTAGGAGTCTGCTGTTCGAGATAATTTCCTATACCCTCTTCGATCCTTAGCAAAATCCTTGGTTACCTGCAGTAGTTTCAGTTCATTCTGATATTTATAATGCTGTGCCACCTAACGCTTTGGGGAAACTATTCTGAATATGATCCGTCTTGCTGACACCCCGTGGTTCATCAGAACATCAACATTATTACGGCATTCAGTCGTCTTCATAATAGCCAAATGTTCCCTACAGTGCGGAAGTACAACTCATACTACGGTTTTATAGACCTTTACCTTTAGTTTCTTTGAATTTTCCAATAGAACAACGATTCGTTTCTCTCTTCAGCTGAACCACACCATTTTCGATCGACTTCTTAATTTGCTGCAGATTAACGGTTTCTTTCTATGGCAGAGCTCAGGTATATGAATGCTTGAGTTTCATAAACAGACAGTAAGTCATTTTTACCGATTCACAGCTGTCGTTTCGGTTTCTACCATTTTCGCTACCGCAAAAGTCCTCCTCCTGTTCCATCTGTGCAAATTGGGCGGAAGAAGGCTGCCCTTTGCTCCGTTTTTTGTTTTAACTCTTTTGCTTTAACTATACATCACTGCATCGCTTCCATGGAACATGCCATGAAGAGCTGCTTCCAATAGGTCTCTTTAGTTGGAACATCTGCCGCCATCAGGAACAGAAGTGAGCTAGACGCCGCTCGTTGATAAACCTCGATCTGCAAGGAATTCTTGTTTCACAGCATGCACTTTCAATCGTCGCTCTCATTCCATGCTACATGGCCTGGATAAGCATAATATGCCTTTATAGCACTAGTTTCTTTCTCGTATTCCACACTATTGTCTACACTGACATCGTACAATGAGCTTTTTCCAAGCTTATAATTATATGAATTTCCCTTTGTTCTGTATGTTAGGAGGATCGATTTCATTGCATATGTGGCGTCCGTTATTCACCATTCCTGCATAAAGCAAAATTGGATTGTGATTATGTTAATCTTTATCCTCAGTTTTCTCTCCAGATGGGACAGATCAATCAGTCTATTTTTTAGATAGATTTTACAAGCTAGCAGCATTTCCAATGTTATATTTGTACACAGATGCTCTTTCCTTTTGACTCAAGCGTCTTTTCGCCTTCTGCGGTTCGTACTTCTGCGTGGAGGCCGTCTTTGTTAAGTGCTATTTGGTTTTACTTTACATTCAAAGCCTCCTACACTTCATCGGATGAGGCACTTTCGGTTAATCGCCGGATTCGTGATGTTTTTGTCTGCTTCACTTTGATACACCTCGTTTAAGAACGTTTGGAAATATATTCATTATCGATTGTGAATATATGTATCATTCATCAGCATCCTGCCACTCTCGCAATTTCGTTTCTGCTTCCCCTATTTCCAGTCTTTCACATGCCTTCAGCGTTGCTTCGGAGATGACTTTTTTCGTTCTTTTTTTACTGATGGTATGTTATTTTTATTTTTTGGCAGTCTTTGTTGAAACACTTTCTTGATTCAAACCTTTATTTTTCCTTAGCATACCACATGCTTTGACGTTCCACCATGATACATGTTTATTTATGAATACGATGCCATTACTTTCCTTGGTTGGGCTTCTGGTATTTTCGGTGAATGCTCTAGTCATTAGCTCATGCACTTCTATCGCTCTTCTGCTGTAGTCTTTTCTCAAAAATATTAACAACAATAAACATTTTTAGTTAATTCTATTTAAACATTAACTCCAGAATACGAATTCGTACACTATTTCGTTAGAAAGCTCTTAGCTCATCCAAAACCGCCTTTCAGGCATATTTGATCGACAATTACTCAGGTAGCTATTTAGGTAGGAAACTATACAGTAGCATTGGGGCATATTCAGCATCTGATGTATTTCGCACAATTGTATTCGTTAGGATAATAGCATAAACAAGCCTGTACTTTTAATACGGTACCTTCTAAATATCAAAATGTAAGAATGCACGCAGGAGTCTACTATAAAGCACATAAGTCCTCCAAACCAGATTTCACGAAAATTCTTTTGCAGTATGTATATTATTGCTCTGGCCGACAAAGTAATACGATATGTATCTGTACTACAGAAATTACTATATACTACTATTATTATTACTATGTACTGCAGTAGTTTTACTCAAATGCCATGGGGCTATGCTCCGCTTAAATTTTTTTGATCCCCAGGCAGTTACCAGCAATGGAGCTGTGTGCTACGCCACCAAATCTAATTTTGGACATTTTAAAATGTTCGT